CCCGAGCGCAATCCTGCCCAGAGAAGAGCTTTCTGTGGAATTTTTGGGTGATTCTTCCCCCCTGAACCAAAGTCACTGTCAGTTCTCTCAGTGCTGTGCTTCCTCCTGTGCCGAGCAGGACCCAAGGCTCCAGGCCCTTCTGTCTGAGCACAGCTGCCAGAGCCATTTTGGGCTGGTGGGGAGGTGATGAGGGGAAGCAGAAGCTCACCTTGAAGGATGTGGCCGAGCTGCTCCGGAAGAAGGAATGTCGGCGTGTGGTGGTGATGGCCGGCGCCGGGATCAGCACGCCCAGTGGCATCCCGGACTTCAGGTGATGCCTCCATCCTGTGTGTCCTTGGAGGGCTGAGGTTTTGTCCATGGAAAGGGTGATTAAACATTGGATGGGGCTGCCCAGGGAGGTGCTGGAGTCACCATCCCTGGAGGTGTCCTAGGAATAACCTTGTTGACAAGGTGATGATGCATCACAGGCTGGACCCGTTGATGGTCTTGGAGGTCTCTTCCAACCTCATTGATCCTGGGATTCTGTCTCCAGCCCAGATCCCACTGCAGCCCCTCTCAGCTGCCCCCTGTCCCCGCAGGTCCCCCGGGAGCGGCCTGTACAGCAACCTGGAGCAGTATGACATCCCCTACCCCGAGGCCATCTTTGAGCTCGGGTATTTCTTCGTCAACCCCAAGCCCTTCTTCATGCTGGCCAAGGAGCTCTATCCCGGCAACTACCGCCCCAATTCCGCCCACTATTTCCTCCGGCTGCTGCACGACAAGGGGCTGCTCCTGCGCCTCTACACCCAGAACATCGACGGGCTGGAGAGAGGTGAGCTCCCTCTTCCCATCTCCAGCAGCAGCAGCAGGAGTTGAGGGGAGAAGCAGGACTGGGGACATGCACACAGGGAGGCATTGGCTCAGTCCTTTCCCACACATTGTATTCCAGTGGCTGGGATCCCTCCTGACAGGCTGGTGGAAGCCCATGGCACCTTTGCCACTGCCACCTGTACGGTGTGTCAGAGGAACTTCCCCGGAGAGGACTTCAGGGTGAGTGGGCCCAGACGGGCACCAACACAATTAACACAAGGAGGCATTAATTATTACAGCAATGACAGGTCTAAACCTGCTCTTTTGCCCTTGGGGACAAGAGGTTTATGGAGGGGACCAGTTTGGGGCTGGGCATTGCTCTGAAGACATGTGGTGATTCTTAACCCCTGTGACAGGCAGGTTTGGGGCCTCTCTTTCAGGGGGACAGGGTCCCTTTGACAGGCAGTTTTGGGGTCTCTCCCTTCAGGGAGATGTCATGGGGGACAGGATCCCTCGTTGCCCTGTCTGCACCGGAGTTGTCAAGCCTGACATCGTGTTCTTCGGCGAGCAGCTCCCGCAGCGCTTCCTCCTGCACCTCACAGATTTCCCCATGGCAGACCTGCTCTTCGTCATCGGGACATCCCTGGAGGTCTGGGAATAAGGGAAAAACTCACATGGAAAACAGGGCCTGAAGGGACTCCAGAGGGGAGAGAGGGCTTAGAGAAGGCAAGAAAATGGGTTAGGGAGGTGAAATTTGAGGTGGAGGGTAAGAAATAGGGTGGAGGTGCTCTGAGAGACCCTCTGGAAGCCAGGTGGGCACCTGGAGAGCTGAGGAAAGGCCACCGGGTGACTGGTGGCACTGTGACCAGTTCAGAGCAGGGGGGGCTGAGCGGTTCCAAGCCGAGAGTGCTGGGCACTGGTGCCCCTGGCAGGGTGACTGTCCCCGTGCCCCCCGGGTTCCCTCCGCAGGTGGAGCCCTTTGCCAGCCTGGCCGGAGCCGTGCGCAGCTCCGTGCCCCGGGTGCTCATCAACCGGGAGCTCGTGGGCCCCTTCGCGTGGCAGCAGCGCCACAACGACGTGGCCCAGCTCGGGGACGTGGTCGGCGGCGTCGAGAAGCTGGTGGAGCTGCTGGGCTGGAATGAGGAGATGCAAACACTGATCCAGAAGGAGAAAGAGAAGGTGGGAAGAGGCTCAGACCCCCAGCTCCCCCCTCAGCCCCTGCGTTCCCTGTGCTGGAGTTAAGCATGGGAGCGGCTTTGTGCTTGCTGGGGTCACATTGCACAGAAAAGTGCAAAAAAAAAACCTCATTCCCACCCAAACCTGAGTGCTGTTTCACAACCAGTGTGCCAGGGCAGAGCACAGTGATTATGTCTGTGGGAAGACATGGATCTGCCAGTACCAGATGAGTTAGGAACATGGAAAAGGACAGGACTTGGGCTAAAAGCAGTGACCCCCTCAGGGACTGAAAAGCTTCCAGTTACATCACCTGGTGTGTGATTTGTTCTCAGGCAAAGCCTGTAGCTGTAGCTGGAGGTGCAGATGCCAGGGGGTGGGAGTAACAAGACAGGAGATGCCCTTGTCCAGCAGGGCTGGGCTGTGAGGCAGCAGAGCCTCAACACAGAACTGGGATGTTCCACAGGGAGCACTTCCCTTGGCTGTGAGGGGCTGGGAACTCTCACCCATACAGTCCCTTCATGGCTGTGATTCCACTTCCAGATGTTCTTCTGGAGCAATAAGCAGTAGGAGAGAGGGAAGGGAGGCTCCATTTGTGCTGAGACCCAGCCAGTGCTGCTGTGGCCAGAGAGGGAGTGGGGTTACTGCTCCTGCTCCACTTGGCAGTGATGAATCCTTAAATCAACTTTTCCCCACCATTCTCACATCTCTAACCCTCTGGGATCTTCAGGAGTGAGAAGTTGTAGGGGAACAAGTTCATAATTACTCAGAGCTCAGTGCTGATGTTAATTTCCACATTCCTTTAGACCACTGGGAGGTTTTTTCCACATTTGACATCAAACACAGCTGTATTTTTTAGGCATACATTGTCGAAACGTGACTTCATAAAATCTAGCTTAAAGATTCCAATTGTAACATCCAGGTTGTTCTTACTTCCCCCAGATTATGCAGCAGGAATGAGTAGGAATTCTTAGCCTTTTTGCCAGGTTTTTTATTTTTTCAGTACCAACATTTTGGGAACCAGCCAGCCCTTGGCTTGATGCTTGTGCTGCTCCGAATCCCTGAGGGATAATGCCGGTGCAACAGTGATGGAGGAAAACCAGTTGCTTGGAGCAACCTGGAATAGTGGAAAGTGTCCCTGTCCATGAGCAGGGATGGGAATGGATGAGCTTTAAGTTCCCTTCCAAGCCAAACCATCCTGGGATTCCAGGATTCTGTGGGGATGGTGCTGGGGGGCTGGAATGTTGGATGCTCCCTGGCAAGCACTGGGGTCTCTGTTTCCAGCTGGATGCCAAGGACAAGTAGGAGGGTGCTCCTGTCACCCCTCAGCACATCACTAGAGGATGTCCAGCCATGAGTGTCACCAGCAAGTGTCCGAGGGCCTGGGGGCTCATGCCAGCACATCCAACGAGCTCAGTGTCTGTAGGTGCCTGTTTGGATCTCCCTCCTTCTGAGCCATCCATCCCAGAGCCCCTCAGAGGCACTGGTTCCATGGAGCAGGAGCTTGAATGCCAAGAAGGTCAGGCCAGGACAGACTGGAGAGTGTTTTCCAGCTCCCACCGGGCAGAGCATCCAGTTCCTGTCACAGCTCCTCCCCAGCCACTGTTCCCTTGGCCATGATCCTCAGCTGCTGCAGGCTGTGTTTAGTCTTCCATAAAATCTCTGCTAATCAGGGGACAAGCCAGGGGTGGGGGGGGGTGGGGGGGGCTGCCCCCCCATTCCCATTCCAGTTCAAGCTGCTGGGGAATTTTTGAATCACTGGAATGTTAATTATTTAATAATAAAGAGACAATTCGTTTCTGGATGTCACCTGAGAGGTTTTCTCTGAAGTCACACCTTCTGTCCCCACCACTGCTTTTTTTTCACCTGCTTTTTAGTACCTTTTCCACGCTTTTTCCCCTTCACACAAGTGCTTTTCCCTGCTGTAGATGCCATTCTGGGGGGTGGCAGTGTCACAGGGCTGCAGGCACGTCCTGCTCTGTCCCACACCTGCCACAACACAATGCAGAGCCTTGTGGCACATCCACACTGGAAACAGTGGGGACTTAGTTTTTAACCATGCCCTGCTGCCCCCCAAAACAGAGCTCCATGATTCTATGAGCACCTCCTCCCAAAACACCTAGTGCCAAGTTCAGTCCCTGCTCCAGGGCATTCCAGGCCAGACCTGGCAGCTGTTCTTAGGGATTAAAGCACTCTGGAAAATTGAAACAATATCAGAAGCAGATGCATGAAAAACGCCAAACCCCCCTTTTCCTTCTGCACATAAAGCTTGGGAAAGCTTCAACAGCTGGGAAGGGATCAGGGTCTGTGTCTGCACACAGAAGGGCTGGAGGGGGTGGGGGGTTTGCTAGTTCAAAAAGAGAAAATGCAATTGGCCTAAAAGCTCACACTGTGATACAGCAGGGCTGTCCCCAGCCCAGCAGCCTGGAATGGCACTTGGGTCAGTCAGGAATTAAACAGAATCATCCAGGTTGGGAAAGACCTCCAAAATCATCAAGTCCAACCTGTGACTCATCCCCACCTTGTCACCAGCCCAGAGTACTGAGTGCCACGTCCAGGCCTTCCTTGGACACCTCCAGGGATAGGGACTCCACCACCTCCCTGGGCAGCACTTTCCATGAGGAAATTCTTATCGAACCACCCCTGGCAAAGCTTGAGGCCATTTCCTCTTGTCCCATCCCTTGCTCCCTGGGAGCTGCACCCTCCTTTCAGGGAGTTGTGGAGAGGCAGAAGGTCCTTTTCTCCAGACTGAGCCCCTTCAGCTCCTTGTGCTCCAGATCCTTCCCCAGCTCCGTTTCCTCTCTTGGACACACTTCAGCCCCTCCATATCCTCCTTGCCATGAGATGCCCAGAGCTGGACACAGCACTCGAGGGGCCTCAGCAGTGGAAACTGGAAAACAAAGCAAGGCTTCCCTCCAGCTCTTCACCTCCTAGACCATGTTCAGGAACACTTCCAACTCCTAAGGACACATGGGCAGAAACACCTGGGATACTCTGCCACAGGGATTTCCTTGCTGGGAGGAATCACTGCCACACTCCCACATGTCAGGTTGGCTTTATTCTGGCGTCACTTGTGCATTCCTACTCATGACGGGAGGTTTGGGAACTCAGATACATGAGACAGATGAGAAGATTTACTTTCCAAAGAAAACAGGAATAAAAATAAAGACAATTCTACACCAGGCTCAACAGCAGCCCCTGTGGGACACAGCGACCTGGGGACAGCAAGGATGAGCCAAGGACAAAGCACAGGTATTGGCCTTTTGTCTGGAAAGTGGGAGGTGGGGAGAGGTGAGTGCCCAAACCCAGCTGGGTGGTGCCAGGGAAGGGACATCGGAGTGTTCCCGGCAGCTGCCCGCGTGCTCTCTCCTGCGGCCAATGGAATGCTGGAAGCTTCCAAGGCCTCCCTGGCTCTGCTCTGCTCACCCACACATTCTGGGTGTGCATGGACATGGATACAGCCGCCTGCACCATGCCCTGCGGATCCCACTCCCACTGGAGACCCACACCCCTCTCTGGCAGCCCCCCTTCCCACAGCATTCCTGGGGAGTAGCCCCCATGCTGGGACCGGGCACACGCACAGCCACGTGCACACAGGAGGCCTCAAGGATCATTGAACCCTGACACAGTGGCAGGAAGAGCCTCCCCCTAACCCTTCTTCCCAAACAGCACATATTTAAAAACCAAAAATCCTACTGGAGAGTCCTGGAAGCAATTTGGAGTGTGAAATCCTCAAGGCTGCTGACAGGAGAGACCGAGGTGGAGCCAGGTCACGGAGACCTCTGGAAGGAGAGGTGGCTATGGAGCTGGGAAGGAGGCAGGTGTTCCATGTGGTGGGCTGTGAGGGGCCCAGGCTGGATCCAGATCCCACAGAGAGAGTCCTGGTGCAGTGCCAGCCCCTGGGTGAAGCACCAGTTCTGAGGGAGAGCGGCTGGAGCCCGGCTCTCCGTGGCTGGGTGGGAGCTGGGTCAGTCCAGCCCCAGGTCCGAGTCGGAGGACGAGCGCTCGTCGGCGATGTTGCGGATGGCGTTCTCCATGGGTGCCAGGTTGCCACTTGGAGTGATGCCCATGGGCTGGATCACCTTCTCCCTGCAGCCAGGGAGAGGGGAAAGGTAAGGCAGAGCTGCAGCAGAGCATGGGAACAAACCAGGAATACGGCAGCAAAGCGGGACTTGTGGAAATGGCCTGGAACACCCATGGCACCACTAAAGATCCCTTCTGAGAAGTGGGAATGGTCCCAGCCCTAAAACTTCCAGCATGGTGGAGCAATGGCCTGGAAGCACAATCCTATTCCCTGAAATAGGCTCCTTTCTAGAGTCCTCTTCTGTATGGTTCAGGATTCCCAGAGGAAAACTAACACTTGTGTCCATGTTCCTTTCCCTCTAACGTAGAATGGACTTACTTCCCTCCTACTCTTGAAAACCTGAACTCAGCTGAGCTCCTGTGGGTCAGAGACAACTAGAGAAAGCACTCCAACAGAGAAGTGGCTGGTGGCACTGGCTGCCATCTGTCCCCACTGTCTGTCCCCAGAATGCTGCTTCCCCCTTAGATGCATTGCCAAGACAGAGGCTGCTGTCCTTCCCAAGCACCAGAACAAAGCTGGAGAGCTGCAGGTGCTTGGGAACAACATAGGCACAGCAAGGAATTCCACAGTTCCCCAGCCAAAGTTGGAGGAGCTGGCAGTGCTTCCCGTGCATGTCACGGAGCCATGCTGAGGGAAGAATTGCCCTGCCACTCCCACTCCCAGATCCCTCCAGGCCTTGGGAACACAGCCAAAGGAAGGTTTGTGACAGATGTAACCCTGACACACACCATGTCCCAGTACCTGGACAACTTGTCAAACATGTTGACTAATTTCATGGCTTCATGCTCCTTCTGCTCCTCCGTCATCCCTTCCATGGGGTTGGGCAGCTTCTCCTCCACGCGTCCTGTCACAGGGTTGATGCTGCACAGAGAGCAGTGAGGCCAGGGCTCAGGGTGGGGACAGCAGGTGACAAAAGGCTGTTTGGAATCCTTCTGAGCCTCATGGAGCAGAGGAATGCCATAGCAGCACTGGCTGTCGCTGCTGCTCGTGTCCTAAGCCCCAAGTGCCATCACAGTGCTACTAGGGATTCTGACATACATCCTTACAAACACCTCCCTTTTCTCTAACATCCCCTCCTACCAATGCCACAGTGACACTGGAAATGAGCTACGTGAGGGCAGGTGACATTTCCTCCCTCTCCTCAAGGCAGGAGACAAAAGCTAATGGAGAAAATCCCAACAAACCCAACCTGCAGGGACACTGAACAGCGTGTGAGGGATGCATCGGTGGGCACGGGCCTGGAACCCCCACCCTCAAGATACCACCCACTGCAGAGAAAAGGAGAAAGGGAAAAAAAATGAGGGGGAAGGGAAAAACAAAAAGAGGGAATTGAAAAAGAGGAACCAAAAGCCACCTGGGTGTAGCAACACTGAGAGGGGTAGGAAAAACAGGCATTTCCACCCCTGCTGCAGGTGGAAAAGTAGAACAGGGAGATGGCAGCAGGTGAATGAAGAGGGATGAAGAGGGATCATGAGTGGGAGAAGGGGATCTCTAGAGGGGAGTGGATCTCTTTACTTGGGCTTTGCCTCTTTGTACTCCTCCGTGTCTGTGTCTTCATCCTCCGAGTACTCCCCCTCTTCCCGGCCACCGGCCATGAGGCCCCGCGCCGCCAGCAGCCCGGCGGCATTCCCGTAGCCCGTGTACTTCACAAACCGGGACACTGCCAGGAGAAGGGACAGAGACCATCCTGTGCTCCCCTCCTGCCTCCAGCCCCGTGCTCCCACCAGCCCCAGCAGCATGGTTTTGCCGTGTCTCCAGGCCATGGAGACATGGAGGTGCTGACAGGGAGCAAGGCCCGTGTGTGGGAGTTGAACATGGGCCAGGCTGTGTGCAGGGTGCTGGGGTGTCCTCCAGCACAGCTCATCCCTTACCGCTGGCCTGAGAGACACCACCTCCTTCCCAGAGCTCCCGGAGCTCTTCCCTTTTCCCCACTCAGCAGGGCTGTCCCAAGGGAAGGCAGAAACCCTGCAGAGAGTCCCAGTGTCAGGGTCTCCCTGTGGAAGCCCCCCAGGACTCACCGCTCTCCTTGCAGAGCACGAACAGGAACTCGGCGGCACAGTGCTTGACGTCGGTGTCGATGTGTGTCATGAGCCTCACCAGCTTGTTCCGCAGGGAATTCCCCACCTCCGGCCGGTTCCGCACATCCCGCAGCGGCGGCAGCACCTGCAGGGCCACAGCGAGGGTGACAGAACACTGTGGGTACCAAAGCCACCCACAGCAGAGGTGTCTGGAAGGTGGCCACAAGCAGGGCTCTGCTCGCCTCCCCTCCCCTCAGGGCAGCACCCCTGAACACAGGGGTGGCGCTGAGCACAGCATACCCTGGCCTTCAGGAACTTCCTGGTCTGCCGGTGGACTCGGGCACTCTCCGTCAGCAGGTTCAGCACAGGGGTCAAGCTCTCCTTCAGCTTGTGGCCCTGCAGAAACACCCCCAGAAGGAGCAGCACGTCAGTCATGCTGAGCTCAGCTTGTCTGGCTCATGCTGGAGAACATGAGCACAGACCATCAGGGAGATGGAGGGACATGGAGCTTCCCAACCTCTGCCACAGGCATTCAATGCCTCCTTCCTCCCCACACCACTTGCTGTGGCACAGGCAGTGCCAGAAATATTTGGGCAGGGCAGAGAAGTGCAGTGTTAAGATTTGGAGGCCCTTTGGAACAACTCCAGAGGCTGAAAACTGTAGTCAGCTTAAAAATAACAGGAACTCAGGTTTCCAGAACTGCCTGCTGGATCACTGCTGAGTGAAACAGGGCTGATTTGTAAATCACCCTGTTAATTATCAGCTAATCATCAACTGTTCCACCAATCTCACTGTCTGCAGCCCTCAAAGCAATGGCAGTCACCTTCCCAGTTCAGGGATGTTGGTTTAGTCCCACCAACCACAGCTCTGCTAAAAGCTGTCCCTCCCACTAAGGGCTAACTTCAATCCAAGTGTGCTGCTCCCACCAGGCTCTTCCAGGCTGAGGGAAAGGTGCCCTGGACCCGTGGGAAGAAGCAGGCCCACCACCCACCCTGTCCAGGCGCCGCTCCAGGAAGTCCAGGAGGATGCTGACCGCATCCATGTTGACACCCATGTACTCCAGCGAGCCCGGCCGCACTTTGGGAGTCAGGAGCACATCCAGACACTTCAGGGGCAGGTTGCCCAGCAGGTTGACTGTGTGGCTGCACATGTGAAAGAGAAGAGAAGTGAACACACAGTGATGGAGCTTTGCTCACAGAAGTCCTTCAGCTCTGCAGAAATGAAGGCCTGTCATTAATTTGCAGGAGTGTGAGGACCTGGCAATCCAAGTTTTCCTGGAGCATCTCAAGCTCCTCAAACCACTGAAAGGGGATAACTTAAGATGGTTTTTGGGCAGTTGACTATATGCTGAGAGTCCAAAGATACTTTAGTGACATCTGAGAACCCACAGATCTTGACACAGACCCGAGCAGGACCAATCTGGGTGGTCCAAGGTCTATCCTTAAAGTCTCTTGTGTCATTCTTAATCCTGATGTTCCATGCCAGCACTGCCTGGAATCCCCCCAACTATGTATTCTTAGGGACAAGGTGGTGTCACCTGCTCGAAGGTGAAACCCCTGCACCAGTAATGCTTGGCAACATGACACAGCCGATTTCTCAGCATGGCTTAAGACTAATTAAGACCATCTCATGGACGTTTTAAAGCAGTACACTTCTTCCCTGGCCAGTTGCCCACTGAGGTGGATGTCACCATTGGGACAGCCTGACGCAGAACATAGAACAAGATCTCAGAGGTCAGGAGGCCATGGCACTCCCATATGGCATTCTCAGGGCAGGAAAGGCTGTTTCTGAGCTCCAGCAGCATGAGGGATCCCCAGGCTAAACCCAAAAGCTGCTGGTCAGCAGGGTCCCTCCCAATCGCCCAAGGTCCCGCAGGATGTGCCTGGGGGAGCTGGCACAGCTCCAGGTGAAGCTCCTCCCAACACAGACCTGTGGAACTCCTCGGTGCGGTCCTCGCCGTCGGCAGAGATCATGAGGCAGTGGCGCAGGAGGGCACCCAAGTGCCTGTACAAAGCAGCATCTTCCTGGCCCCAACATGGAGAAAGGAACACCTCCATCAGCAAAGGGGATCCCATACATCCCAGAGCCTGCAGCCCATTCCCCCCTCCAGCAGCCTGATCATGGACTGCAGGGCATTCCAGGGAAAGCAGACTCTCAATTCTCCATTTGGGAATGCTGAAAGCACAGGCAAAGTAAGGGATAATACTGCACTGGACAGAGGCAGTGCCCTAAGGACACCCAAGTCCCTCACCACCCTGAGGGTGCACAAAGACTAATCTGGGACATGAGAAAATGCAAGGGAGGAGAAAACTTGAAAAGCCAGAGCCCAAAGACACACAAATGCCTCAAGCCCAAGGAGCTCACCTCATCCACCTCCCTCTTGCTGGAATCAAAGGTGATGTTGAAGAGCACTTTGAGGATCTCCATGGCTCGCTCCGTCTCCTGACGAGGCAAAGGTGGGAGAAGTCCCTCCTCTGTGGCAACTTCATACGGGTCCAACCACTTGACCCCAAGGGTCAGCTCCAGGGTGTCTGTCATGAGGCTGATTCCCCGGAGCTCCTGGGCGAGCTGCTGCCGGATGTCCACCCTGAGGGCCGTCAGCAGGAACAGCAGGCGCAGGTCGAAGAACTTGATGTCGTGAGGAAGACTCCGCTCATTGTAGAGCTTGATGCGCCGGGCCAGCCCCACCACCAGCCGCCCCTCCGCCGTCAGCTCCTGCGCCATGGCGCTGCTGAACACTATGTTGCACAGGCATTTCAGGGATTCCAGGATTACATCCAAGTCTGGGACCTCCCGGATGAGCTCCTCAGAGTAATCGATGCCGGCGTGCCTGGAGAGGGTCTTCAGGCCTTCCTTGGTGGTGAAAGGGTCGAGGCAGTGCTTGTCCCGGGACAGGATGCGGATGCTCTCCAGGCAGGTGACCTGGCAGGATGGCTGCAGCTCCCTCTCCAAGAACTTGATCAGCAGCTGGGCCATTTTCTGTGCAGATGGAAACAAGCAATGCCTTGGATACCGACACTTCCCAGGGCTCCCTACGGCCCTGGCACGCTCTGCCCCGGACAACAGCCGTGTCACCTGGGCCTGCTCAAGTGCGCACTCGGCAGCACTCAGGAATTGCCTGGCTCTGGCATTGATCCTGACCAGTCTGGGCAAGAACAACCAGGAAAAAATGTCTTGTAGAGGGTGTTGGGTGCAAAGGGAGAGCACAAACAGGTCACTGTTATAGCTCTGCCCTGGTGAGGATGGTTCAGGCTGACAGGGCCGACCTGCCCACTGCACAAGGGAGGGACACAGGACCCGAGGGAGGTAAGGAGAGCACCTGATGCCTTGGGAAAAGAGGTGAAGAGACCTCAGGAGATTCAAATAAGCAGCATCTCCTTAATTTCAGTGCTGTCTGGAGACCTACTGGCCCAGATCTTCCATGGGTACAGACTGGCAAAGCCCCACTAACACAATTCACGGGAACTGCAAAGCTCACGGGGAACGGTGAGTCACGGAGCAGCACGAGAGCACGGGTAAGACCTCAGAGACACAGGCAGCTCAGGCTGAACCAGGTGTGGCAACACTTCTCATCACACCAGTAACCCACACACACTGCTGGGGGAGCCCACCAGACCTCAAACACAACACAGCTCAGAGCACAGGTCTTTCTGTGATGTTACAAGAGTGAAAGAACCCAAAAATTGAGGTCTGTAACTGGCTTAACACCTCACTGGTTACACTTCAAAATAATCAGAGAATCACTAAGGTTGGAATCATTAATCATAATCATTAGTCATTAATCATAATCATCCAGCTTGGAAAAGACCTCCAAGACCATCAAGTCCAACTTGTGACCAATCATCACCTTCACAACCAGACCAGAGCATGGAACAGTCATTTCTTGAATACCACCAGAGATGGATGATGGCTACACCACCTCCCTGGACAGCCCCTTCCAATGCCTTCCACCCTTTCCACGAAGAAATTCCCCCTGATAGCCAACCTCACTCTCCCCTGGTGAAATGAAACTACTGAGGGAAGGAATGAAGAAAAAACTGAACTTCAGTCCTTAAAGTGAGGCTCATGGTGTGTTTCAAAATCACATCCTGGGGAAATGATGAAGTACAGCTCTTCTCCTGCCTCACAGGGAAACAGAATTTCAGATACAGTCCCAGCAACCAAAGCCTCAGGCTGGTTCAGGGGAAAGAGATCTCAGGGTGTGTGCCTGAAGCTGAACCATCTGTAAACTCAAGCACCAGGAACTAGTGGTGTTGTTCATCTCATATTTCATGGCATACATCCCAAAAGTGGGACACTGTGCCTGAAGCCATGTCCTGTGTGACTGTGCCAGCTCACACAGTGGGTCAGTGCAAGGCAAAGAGCTCAGATCTCATCAGATCCAGTCCCACATTTCAGGCTGTGCCTGGAACACTCCATGTGGCAGCAGCTGGCCCTGGCACAGCCAAAGGAGGTCCAACTCTCCACCCCGGTCGCCTGGCCCGCACTTGCTGTGCTAACACAGACATTGGCACCACCCACCAGTGAACTGACCACAGAACTGAGCCAGCTGGAAAATAACCCAGGGAAAACAGTTATTCTTATGGCAGAACAGCCAGGCAGGAGCAGGAATGAGCAGGCAGAGTCTTCCTTCCCTCCAAGTGCCAGATTACACCAGCTCAAAGGATTTGCTAATACACAGCTCCTGGCAAATCCCACTGCTGGCTCCCAACAGAGCCCCTCACCCTCCCCCGGAGCCAGCACTGCTGTGATTCCTGTCCGGAGGCATCAGAGATCACATCCATGACTGGGACTATATGGATCATGGAACCATTGCTAGTGTCAGATGGATGCCAATCTTTATCCAAAACCACCAAATACTGATGGAAAAAGCAGAGCCAGACAGTCCAAGCACATAATTCCCCAACCAAGTGAATGGAAAACTTTCAGTTCTTCTCATGTGGGAGCTGCTTGCCAAGCCCAGCTGGACATGAGTACAGAGCAGCAGATTTACACACTGACCAGAGGAGGACAGCAAGCAGCATGTGCCTACCTTCCTCTCTTCCCGCTCCTCATCCTCAAAGATGAAGCACTGAGATTTCTATGGGAAAAACAAAATCAATCAGAAAGAGGAATAGGTTAAAACTCCATGGGACCAGAGAAGAGCCATTCAGCTGGAAAGCAGCAAGTCCAAAACATGCTGCAACAGCAAACAAACCATCTCCTGACAGTCCCCCACATCATGGGCATCACCCCTGGCTCCACAGCACCAGTGGAATGCCACAGGCCAGCTGACAGATGGATTTAGTTTAAATACTGCAGCAGCACAGTGGCTATTCATCCCAATCCCAATATCCTATAAGAGCCGGTAATTCCTGTGCTCAGTGATACCACTGAGCTGTGCCTACACGTCTCCCCTTGATATTTATTATTCCTTTTCCTGACCAAAAGAAGTCTTGTCTCCTTGGTACATGGGAATGGATCCTCGTGGTTATCCAGGTCATTCTTTAAACACAAAGGACTTGATCTCCACACTCCATCCTGTCCCCATGCTAACAAACACTCCTGATCTCCACTCATTGTGTTTCTCTTGCTATTTTGTTTGTTCTTCACTGACAGTCTCCTTCCTGACCAAACCTGCTCCCATGGAACTGGAGATCACAGGTGCCTGGGGAGAAGCAGCACCTCCCAGTGACTGAGGCAATCCTTGTTCATACCAAGAGAGTGTTTGATCCCAGCTTGGAGAACAAAAACATTTAAAATCCATAAAACACTGATTATGTGTGTGCAGTCACCAAAAGCCCAGGGATAGAATGGGCTCTGTCCAGCCTGGAAGCAGTGATAGACACAGTTGCCTGGAGCAGCCCCAGGTGTGGGGGCAGGACAGGTGTACTCCAGCCAGGCTGAGTGTGGGCTCCATGAGCTGATCCATCCACACTACCAGGAGCTGATGGCCCAGTCCTGCCACTGCCGTGTTCCACAAGCAGGCTGCTTGTTCCCTCAGCACATCCTCTTTTCAGGCTGTAATCCCATTTGGGGGTATTTTGGCCACACCTGGGGTTTTGCTTTAGCTGTAGCATATTCCCAGCAAGCAAAAACTGCATGCACAACAGTGAATTAAAAACAAATCCAGAGGAAAAGCGTACAGAACCATTAGTCTTGCAGCAGAAGCAATGCCAGGCAGTGCCAGGTTTATCTGCAGATTCATAATCCTCTTTGACTGCTCCATTTCCTCCAGACAGGCCAGCAAACCCTGTGGCTGCAGTTCCCTAGGCTCAATACCCCAGGAAGGACCCAGCTGGGGGACTCCAACAGGAAATATCATGGTTTGGGGGCACACAGACACTGTTTGCACCTGCTGCTGGTGCTGTTAATCCTTAGTGCTGTCCTTAACAGACACCTGCTCCTTCTTGGCCAATATCTCCCCGTTCCAAATCTGACTGTTAGGAATAGCTCCACACACTCCCTCTCTCACACACTCTTGCAAAATATTCCTCAGGTTTTCCCTGCTGGCTTCCACCTACTCCAGCCTGGTGCAGAGTGAGTCAGAGTGATCCACAGGGCCAGCCCCTCTCAGGGGAAACCTCCGAGTTTCTCTGACAACTAGAGTCTGTTTCAAACAGGATTTCACAGAGCCATAGAATATCCTGAGCTGTAAGGAACCCACACAATCCATTCAGTCCAGCTCCTGGCTCTGCCCAGACACCACAACAATCCTACCCTGTGTCTGAGAGCACTGTCCAAATGCTCCTGGAGCTCTGGCAGCCTTGGGGCTGTGCCCATTCCCTGGGGAGCCTGTTCAGTGCCCAAACATCCTCTGGGGGAAGAACTTTTTCCTAATATAAAACCTAAACATCTCCAGCTGTTCCCTTGGGTCCTGTTACTGCTCAGAGAGCAGACACTGGAGCTGCCCCTCCACTGCCCCTCAGGAGGAAGATGTAAATGGCTGAGGTCTCCCCTCAGTCTCCTTTCTCCAAGCAGAGATTTACCACCACGGATTATCTTTTCCTACTTTAAGGCTAGAAACACTTCCATCTCTGCTTCCAGATCATTGGGGTTTGATATTCTACATTCTACATTCATTATTTACTGCTTTCAGAGCCATGCCCATATGAGATCCCAGCAGTTACCTCCAATCATCTTTTGACTTGCAAATCCCAACATCGTTTCACCTGCAGCCCCTCCCTGGATTCTCTCAGCACCTCCAAAACTACCTTAACATAAAAGCTCCTCCTACTCAGTCCTCACCCTGACTCTTATTTCCAGGCCAGGCTTTACTTGGGATCTTGATAATCATTTTTTTAGGAGTTCCTGAGATGAGGGAAGCGTTGATGCTCACTCACCTCTTGGTTGTAGACCTGGAGCACCTTGAGAACCGTGTCCTGCTCCCCACTTTCCAGCGTGGACACCACAGCCTGGAGCTCCATTATCCCAACAGCTCAGCTATGGCACAGCCCCAGAAGAAGAGGAGCAAGGGGATTTCCAGGGTGATGGAAAAGCAGCTCGGCACACAGACCTCTGAGAGGGAAGAGAGAAAGGGGTGGAGAGAGCAAGGAGGGAAAAAACACAACACAAAAAAATCCCAAGTGATATTGCTCACACTGCTGCATCCATAAAAGTGGAGCAGATGGATAACCCGAGCAAAGCCAGCAGCCAACTTCCTCTCTCTCTCTCCTGCTAATCCTCTTCTTCCTCGCTTTGCTTTTCAATGTTTAATATATGCCCTCGCAGGAAAGCACTCAGGGAAAACCTTCCCCCCACCAGCTGGAGATTAACGTGGAGCAGATAACAGCAGCTCCCTGAAATAGCTCCCTGCCTCCTCCTCCTCCTCCTCCTCCTCCTCCCCGCCTGCCCTGATTTCTGCTGCCGCACAGGGGGAAAATAACAAATAAAGCACGAAACATTGCCGCGGAGTGACAAGGGACGGAGCGGCGAGGCAGCCAGGCGGGAGAGCATCCTCCGGCTGCAGGCGGTGGGAAGCAGAGCAGGAGGGTTTGGTGGCGGGCTGGATCATGGCCGATCCCTGCAGGCCACCGCCGGGCGAGGATGTCCCTGCCGACAGTGCCAGCCAGCAGATGCGCAGCACCGCGGGATTATTTCGGACACGGCACCGGTTTAGCGGCTCACGGAGCCACGCGAGCCCAGGGCGCTGGGACATGATTCCCATGGGGGGAAATCCAGCAGATTTGAGCTCGGACATGTGTTCGGCTTCCGTGTTGCCATGAGGATGAGGCTGAGCTGGTCACACCAACCTCAACAAACCGGGATCCCAGGCACAGGGTTCCCGGGGTTTGGGAATCACACGGGCTGTCCCCTCCTGCCCACGCAGCCCCAGAGGGGCGTTTTGGGGGGACCAAAAGAGGCAGATCCTGCATTTTGGAAGGCGGACAGTTGCGGAGACAGGAGGCTGGGCTGGCCCGGGGCAGCATCCCCATGTGCAGGGGCTGGGATGGAGGGGATCCACCTCTGCTTTTGGAGGGATGACATTAACCAACGGATCATTGGGCATATCCCCATTTCCATACTCCTACTGCCACCTCCTTCCCTCACCATCTGAGTAAATTCCAAACCTCCTTTTTTGTCCCCATAACCCCGTTTATATCCCTAAACCCCTACCTTCCCCCCCAAACCTCTATTTTTGTCCCAAGCCCCTATTTCCCCCCAAACCTCTATTTTTATCCCAAGCTCCTATTTTCCCCTTAAACCTCTATTTCCCCACCCCCAAAACCCCTGATTATTTCCCCAAAACTTCTTTTTGCCCCCAGACCCCTATTCTAGTCCCCAAAGCCCTATATTTGTCCCCAACCCCCCGGTTTTTGCCCGCAAGGCGCTGTTTCCTCCCCCAGCCCCTGTCCCGCCGCTGTGCCCGGGCAGGGCGCCGGCCGTACCTGCGGCCCGGGATCCCTCGGGAGGGAATTCCAGCCCTTCCGCCCCGGCCCGGGCGAGCGGCCCGAGGGTCCCGGCGCCGGGGGGCAGGAGGAGGAGGAGGAGGAGGAGGAGGAGGAAGAGCGGGCGGACATTTCGTGGCGGCTCCGCCCGGCGGGGCGGGACGGGCCGGGGCAGCCATGGCGGAGCGGGGCCGAGGTGAGGGGACGAGGGACAGCGACAGGTTTGGGGGGCAGAAGGGGCTGGAGCGGCTCGGAGGGAGGAGGAACTCCCGATCCCACTGAACCCCGCGGGGCGTTTTGCAGTGCCCCGATTTCTCCCCCTATAGCCCGGGAATAACACCCCACCCCCCCCACCGCGTAAGCCCTAATTGCCTCCCTGTGCCTTTTTTGGGGTTCTGGGCTGCCCCCCCGAGCCCCTAATTGCTCCCTCTATCCATTAATTGTCCCCATGAATCCCTAAGCCCCCCCCCCCCATAAACCCTAAATACCTCTTAGAGCCCCCATAGCCCCTAATTGCCCCAGAACTCCTAATCCCCCCCAGCCCCAACCTGCCCCACAATGGGGGCAATGCCGAGAGACCCCAGCACGGCCGAGGGGCAGAGGGCCCCGGGTTTCACCCAAATCTCACCCCTGGATGTCACTGGCCATGGAACCCCCACAGCTGCTGCTGGGCTGGGGTGGCACTTCAGATACCCTGAATTCTGGCTTCTCACCCTGGCCTGTTTGGGGGAAGTCTGTGGTGTTTTGGTCACATTTTCAGAAGGTTCCACTGCACAAAGCATGTGTGGAGGGGCTGTGGTGGGAACAGAGCTGTGCTGTGGCACGGCAGGCATGATGTGTGCTCCTCGTTCTTCTCCCCAGGGCAGAGCCCGAGCGCCATGGAGGACCTGCTGGATGTGGAGAACAAGCGGATGGCCGACAGCCTGGCCAGCAAGGTCACCAGGCTGAAGTCGGTGAGTGCCGAGGTCACAGCAGGTGTTGAGGTGAAGGACAGGCTCTGATTACCTGGGAGTCCTGCAGGGGATCACAGAACCATGGAAAGGTTTGGGTTGGACAGGACCTTAAGGCTCATCCAGTCCCACCCCTTCCCATGGACAGGAACACTTTCCACTAGACCAGGTTGCTCCAAGCCCTGCCTAACCTGAACACAGGAGTGTTGCTAAGCTCACATCCTTGGGGAAAAATTAATGGAAAAAAGGCAGGCAGATTAATTTTGGAAAATACCTGTGTCTCTGTGTAACTGTTCTTAATGCTGGTTTGCTCCTATTAACATCAAACACTTTGATTTAGAGCTTTAAGCTCTAAATTATTATTAAAAGTGTAGTACAAACCATGAAAGAAGTTGATGACTCACTGTGTAAAAGGGCAAGCTGAATTCCTGCCATTGTGTCCCAGGGTTTAAACTACCTTCTCTAGCTGGCAGATTTAGACAGCCAGGCTTTATTTTCAGAGCTGAAAAAGTTCACCTGACAGGGAAATGCCATTTTCCTTGTTCCTGCACCAGACAAGCCCCTGTGTGTCTGTTGGAGCTGGGAAAGCAGCAGCTTGTTTTAATAATTTGCATTTCAGATTTTAGAGGTTCTCTGGACATTAAAAGCTCATTAATGCCCATTTCCTGCCTTGCCCTGCAGCTGGCTCTGGATATTGACAAGGATGCTGAGGAACAGAACCGCTACCTGGATGGCATGGTAAGGACCTGGCAAACGGGACACGGGGCTTTCTGTGCAAATCAGGGAATTGGGATGAGAGGTGGGACGGCAAAAGCCCTTAAGGAAGAAGCCCTAAATCAGCACTGGGATTGTTGGGGTGTCCTGTGCTGTTGGAGCTGGACTGGCTCATTGTGAGTCCCTACAACTTGGGAAGTTCTATGATCCTGCAATGCCTCCAAGGTGTCTCCTCCCACCAGGACTCGGATTTCCTGAGCGTGACAGGGCTGCTGACGGGCAGCGTGAAGCGCTTCTCCGGCATGGCGCGCTCCGGCCGCGACAACCGCCGCCTGCTCCTCACCGTGTCCGCGGTGCTCGTCCTCATCTTCTTCATCCTCTACTACCTGGTGTCCCGGGCGGGGACCTGAGCCCGGGCTGGCAGGTGGCACAGGCCAGACCTCACCATCCACAGACCTGGCCACATGTTTTCCAGAGGAGCCTCCAGCCACACCTCCACCTTCCCAGTGACTTCTCCTTCCAGCTTGTCAGCGCTCCGGCTGGGCCCAGGCAGCTCTTCCAAAACAAGTTTGGCTCCAAAGGGATCTTCGTGTCTGTCAGGATTTTGGGGTCATGGCTCTGGCCGTGACCTCCTGCCTTGTCTCCATCCCGTGGGCTGTTTCTAAGGGCCACTTCCACATGACCTCCCTCGATCAAAACCAGGAACTAACAAATCCAGGGACTTGTGGATACTCCATAACCCAGCTGAGCTTTGCGAGCTGTAGGATTTAGGATGCTGACTTAGGGGATTTGGGAGTACCAATGTGTGACTTACATTCCGTGTGGCCACTCTCCATTTCCCTTGGACTTGCAGACCATATCCCTGGGCTGAAAGGAAACTGTGAAAGGAAACTTGTGCATTGCTAATCCGGGTGGAATTAGCAATGGATCTGGGCCTGGATACTCTCACATTGTAGCAGGGAAGAGATGCAGGAGAGCGGGACTTTCATTAAATCCTGGCTTGGTTGTCTTTATCATCCTTGTGGGCAAACCAGGCTGGACCCTCTGGGAAGGGAGGGCCACAGTCCATAACCACATGGATTTGCACTTGTGTGGAACCTTCCAGAACCTTCCCACACATGTGCAAATTAAGTTACTAAATCAGGGTAAAGAATACCGGTGGCAGAAGGTCCAGTTAACTGTGGTTAACGTGGCATCCTGCTTTTAGAGCACTTTGGGGAGATGTAGTGCCAATAAAGTGAGGTGGAACTCCCCCCGCAGTGCTCTTGGGAGTGGGGGGATCCAAGGAGGGATTTGCTGTTTTGTTTATGCATTTAGAGAGTACAAAAGGAACCCCTGCTTTACCTTGGAGGGTGTGTTTGCTTATTTGCTTCTCTTTTCCTGTAACAGGCAGGGCTCAGCCATTCCTTCTCCTCTGATTTAGACTCTCCAGCAAACCCTCTTCATGGATGGATGGCTGGGTGTTCCTTTGCTTTCTCCCTGTTCCCAGTGGGAATTCCTTTGCCCTTGGGCTAACTCGGGCCCATAGGTATGAAGAGAATGTTGTCCCATGTACCAAACTGCTCACAAAACACACCCTGGCTGGATTATGTGTTCTCTTTTCCACATTTGGGAGAAAACGTGCAGGAAAGGCAAGGACAAAAGAGGCAGCAGGAGCTTCCTCTGGCTCTTCCTGCTTTCCTGGTGCAACGTGGCAGGTCTGGGCTCTTTCCTTTGGGAAGAATCAACGGCCTGTGATTCCTGGAGCAGGTGACTCCCAACAAAAGGCCCCTGGAGCAGCCTGGCCTTCACCGTGGCAGGGTTTATTTTGCCTTTTCTGCTGTAAATAAAGCTGATTTTAGACCTTTTAGCCCAGATGTTTGTTCCTTGTGCGAGGTGCAAGGTCGATCACCTGGTTTTACCTGCAGCCTCACAGCCCAATTCCAGCGTCACCTGGAGCCACCCTCAGGTAGGGTGGGGGTCCCCAGGACCTCACCCGGTGTGAAGGGAGAGGAGCACGAGGAGGCACTGGGGCCTCACGGGACACTGGGGAGGCCTGCGGACAGGTGGAGAGTGGTGAAAAGGGACAGTGAGAGACATGGGCCCGGGGTTAAGGGTGCCAGCGGCCGCTCAGCCCTCGAGGGTCGGTGTCTCCACCCATGTCTGCGTCCGCATGAGGATTCTTGTCGCCGTGGGGCAGCATGACACGGGCCGCGCCGGCCCCGTCCCCGTGGCAGCCGCCCCAGGCCCCGGGATCTGGGCTCCGCTTCCCGGTCGCCATGGCAACCCGGCGTCTCACCGGAAGTGACGTAATGGACAGGCCGGAAGTGGCTGCCGGGGCGGAAGCGGCGGCGCGATGGCGGCCGTGACGACGGGGAGCGGGGCCGGGAGCGGGGCCGCAGGCAGCCCCGAGGCCACCGGCGGGAGCACCGGGGGCGGGGGGTGGCGGCGTCCCCACGGGCCGCTGCAGCGCTACTATGGCCCGTCCACTGCCGAGGCGGCCGAGGCGCCCCCGGACCCCACCGACATCAACGGGCCCCACTTCGACCCGGAGGTGTTCATGAACAAGGTGGGCATGGAGAACAAGGGTATGAAAAAGGAGACTCCTCCCGCGGGCACCGCCACCTTGGCGAGGGCTCCGGGACTCCGATGGGCCTCGGGATGTCCCCGCGGGGCCGCGTCACGAGGGATCTCGGTGGGTGGGGGAGGACCGCGGGGTCCCCAGAACCGTCGCGCACCCAGGATCCTGAAGAGATCCCAGAAAGGGCTCTCTCGAGCACCTTATGGATGTGTTTCTTTATTTCCTGATTCCCACAGAGTGGGAATGGTACTGAGGTGTTCCACAGCAGCTGGATGGGGCAGTTAGCACGGCACAGGGGGGAGCCCTGGAGGGCGGGGGAGGCTCCTGGAGATCACTTCCATATCCCGGGAGAATCCAGAGGAGACAGTCAGGGATCCTGCAGGGCATCTGAGGGGCCCAGACTGACTATGGAGGGCAGTCGATCTCAATTAGGGGGCTCCAGAGGGGGCAGTGAGGGATCCAGGGGCAGATGTGCGTCCATTGTCGCCTCAGGTGCGCAGCGAGTGTCCCCTGGGGCAGCTCCTGGCCCGTGAGGCCACGCTGGGCCGGGAGATCCGCGCCCTGGACAGCGACATGCAGACCCTGCTCTACGAGAACTACAACAAGTTCATCTCTGCCACGGGTGAGCTGTTCCCTCTGGAGCCTACTGATGGCAGCCATGGGAAATGGGGATTAGGGGGTGTTCACTCTGAAATCTGCTGATGGCAGTCATGGGAAATGGGGATCTGGGGGTGTTCACTCTGGCAGCCCTGGGAAGCTGCCCTGGGGAGTGTGGTGGTTCACTCTGGAGACCAGTGACAGCCGCCGGACAAGCAGCCTTCCCTGGGGGTTCTGGCTGTGGTGTGTTAATCCTGGGCGGGCCGGGAGGGTCCCAGGCGGCTGAGGGACTTGGCACTTGGCTCGTGTCCCCCAGACACCATCCGGAAGATGAAAGTGGATTTCCGGCACATGGAGGCAGAGATGGATGACCTGGCGGCCAACATGGCGGCCATCAGCGCCTCGAGCGCCCGCGTCAGCGCCGCGCTGCAGGACCGGCACCGCCGCGGCGCCCAGCTGGCCGGTACGGAGCGGGGCCATCCGGGGGGCAGATCCAGGGAAATTTATTGGGATGAGTCCTGTGGGGCAGATCTACGGGGTGGGTGTCCCCCACGGTGGGCAGATCCCGCAGATGGTCTCACTGCCGTGTCTCATCCTGCTCCCGTTGTGTCCCCACCACTGACCCCGTGTCCCTGCAGGGGTGCAGGCGCTGCTGCGGAAGCTGCAGGCACTGGTGGAGGTGCCGGGGCGGCTGCGGCGCTGGGCGGGGACGGAGCCGGCTCGTGCCCTGCGCTGCCACGCCCGTGCCCGCGCCGTGCTGCGCCACTACCGCCACCTGCCCTCCTTCCGCGCCATCGAGGATGAGAGCCACGCCATCATGGCCGACCTGGCCCAGCGCCTCCGCACACGCCTCCGGTGCGTTCACTCGGAGCCTGCTGATGGCAACGCTGGGCAATGCGGGTTTGGGGCTGCTCATCCAGAGCCTATTGATGACTTCTGTTGCTTATTCTCTGTTTTCTGCCATGCCGCTGTTAACCCCGGGCCCTCCCGACCACCAGGGAGGAGAAGCTGGACCCCAAGGAACTCACCGAGTGCGTGGAGATGCTGCTGCAGCTGGAGGAGCCGGCCGAGGAGCTGAGCGAGGAGTTCCTGAGCCAGGCGGGCGCGCGCCTCGAGGCCGAGCTGGCGGCGCTGGAGGCCGAGCTGCCCGCGGCCGACCCCTCGGGCACGGCCACCACGCCACCACCGCCCGCCTCCGACATCCTGGACTTCGTGGACCGTGGCAGCTCGGCCTTCGTGGGCACGCTGTGCCAGCTGGCCGGCTCGTACCGCGCGCTGTTCGGCGGGGACACGGGGCGCCTGGAGCCCTTCGCCACCGCGCTGGCCACCCGCTACTTTGCGCTGCTGGAGCGGCGGCTGGCGCTGGAGCGTGGCCTGGGTGACACCTCCCTGCTGGTGCGGGCGCTCGACCGCTTCCACCGCCGGCTGCGCGCGCTGCTGGAGCTGCTGCCCGCGGGCGCCGACGCTGCCGCCGCGCTGGTGGCCCGGGCGGCCCGTGAGCGCGTCGACCGCTACCTGCGCGCCCTGCAGACCTTCTTCCTGGGCTGCCTGGGTGACGTGCGCCAGGCACTGGCTGCTCCTCGGCCCCCCGGCAAAGAGGGGCCCGGCCTGCCCGACCTGCTGGCCACGCTGGCCGCCTCCGTGCTGGGCCAGCTGAAGGCCGTGCTGGCCTACGTGCAGCTCTTCACCGCCAGGGACGTCGCCTTCGCCAGCCTGCCCTACTTCAAGGTGGGGTAACACGGGGTGGGGTGCTTTGTGGGGGCAGACTGAGGGGGCTAGGGGCATTTTGGGGGTCACTGGAGCAATTTGTGGGTGGCATAGGGGAGGTTGGGTGGACAGACAGGGCGGTTTGGAGCCCGTACAGGGCAGTTTTGGGATGTGACCTGCCCCCCATTTGTGGCACAGGGGGAGTTCTGTGTGACAGCAGTGCGTGAGGGACTGGTGGTGGCCTTCGTGCGCTGGCTGTGCCGCACCGCCCGTGGCTTCGCTGATGGCCCGGCTGAGCGGGGAGCTCCCGCTGCCCCCCCGGCTCTGCTGCTGCTCCTCGCCCGCCTGTGCTTGGACTATGAGAACTCCACCATCAGCTACATCCTCACCCTCACGGATGAGCAGTTCCCACCCCAGGTGAGCCTGGTCCTAGGGGACTAAGGGGTTCTGGTCCTAATGGCCCTAAGGGGATCCTCATATCCCTGAGGGATCTTCAGGGAGGATCTGCATAGCCTCAAGAGTCCCTGAAGCCCCAAGGGCCTGTAAGAGGGGCAGTGATGCTGCTTCAGGCATAATGTCCCACCTGTCCCCAGTGTCCCTGTGCCCCCAGGACATCAGATGTAGAGTCACAGGGAGGGGAAGCATCTCCACGTGTCCCAACGGTGACAGCGCTGCAGAGGAGGTGCGGGGCTGATCCTGCCTGTGTGTGTCCCCAGGACTCGGGGCCGGCGGTGACGCCGGGGCCAGCGCTGTGTGCGGAGGCGCGGGCGGCGGCGCAGCGGCTGCTGGACCACTACGTGCAGGTGCAGGGCGCGGCCGTGGCGCAGATGCTGCGCAAGAGCGTCGAGACGCGCGACTGGCTGGGCACCGTCGAGCCGCGCAACGTGCGCGCCGTCATGAAGCGCGTGGTGGAGGACATCACCGCCATCGACGTCCAGGTCGGGCTGAAACCGGGGCTGAGGGGGTTGCCCCAGATCGCTGTGTGACCCTTTGGGGATTCGGGATGGGTGTGGGAGGCTCACAAAGACTTTGAGGGATGCTGGGTGCTTTGGGGGGGTCCCAGGAGGGAGTTGTGGGTGCTGAGGGTGTGGTGCCACCCACAGGTGGGGCAGCTCTTCGAGGAGGGAGTGAGGCGGGCGCAGAGCAGCGATTCCAGCCGGCGCGCCTTCTCCGTCTACAGCAGCTCGCGGGCGCCCGGCCGCTATGCCCCCAGCTACACCCCCAGGTCAGCTCCGCCATCCCTGTGTCACTGCATGGGCCACCCAGGCACCCCTGACTCCCTGTCACTCCTTGAGTATCCACTGCATCTTCCCTGTCACCCTCTTCATGATCCCAGACTTTCCCAGGCTGTTTCGACAGACCTTAGCTGTCACCACATCCCCAGACTGTCCTAATGATGATCCCTGTTTCTCCCAACAATCCCTGTGTTCCTGACAACTGTCCCAGAATCTCCTGGTGATCCCCATCATCCTTGAGTCCCTCAGTTGTCTTTTCCCTCCGTTCCTGGGGCCATCCTCATATTCCCCTGCCTTTCTGTCCCCAAAAAAATCCCCGTGTCCTCTGACCCTTTCCATGGCCCCTAACGGTCCCTGTGTTCCCATCCCCACACCTCTGGTTATGTCAAGTCCCTGACTGTCCCTGTGTCCATGTCCTCAGTGCCCCCATGGACACCCACCTGCTCAGCAACATCCAGAAGCTTTTCTCTGAGCGCATAGATATCTTCAGCCCTGTTGAATTTAACAAGGTGAGGTCATGGGGACACCACCACGTCCCTAAACATTCCCAGAGGTCCCAAACTGCCTACCTTCCCACTGCCACATGTCCCTGGTGTCAGGACTCAGGGTGTCCCTGGGCATTGATGTCCAGGACAAGGGCATCCCCAGTGTCCCCTGCCCTAGGACTGTGGGGAGGAGTGGGATCTGTGTAGCAACCAGGCCAAGGGTATCCATGTGCCACATGTCCCCATGCTCTGGAGTTCCATGGGAAGTGGCAGTCAGAACAAGGGTCCCCACATGCTGTGTGGACATGATCCCTGTGCCCGTGTGCCGCATGTCCCCGCTGTCCCCTCACACAGGTGTCAGTGCTGACGGGGATCATCAAGATCAGCCTGAAGACGCTGCTGGAGTGCGTGCGGCTGCGCACGCTGGGGCGCTTCGGGCTGCAGCAGGTGCAGGTGGACGGGCACTACCTGCAGCTTTACCTGTGGCGCTTCGCCTCCGACGAGCGTGTGGTGCAGGGGCTGCTGGACGAGGTGGCCGCCAGTGCCGCCCACCGCTGCCTTGACCCCGTGCCCATGGAGCACAGTGTCGTCGAGCTCATCTGCGAGCGCGGGTAGCGTGAGGGACAGGGACGTGCCACACCTGGGGCCTGTTACATCCCTGGGGACAGACCTGGGCCCTGTGAGTCCCCACACATACATGAGGTGTCCTTCCCAACAGGAGGACACCTTGTCTTCACATTGGGTTACAGCATGTTGTTCAAATCCCCTTTCCCCACTGCCTCCCCAGCCCACTGACACAGTGTCATCCCCACACCTTGGTGACATCCCCTCGTGCCTAGAGACAGCCCCTTTGTCACTAATAAATTATGTGCGAGTTGAATTGAGTGTTGTGTCCCTGTCAGTGCCTGGGGGGCAGGAGCTGACCCTGCACACAGTGGGGTCCCACCTGCAGCTGGGCTGACAGCACAGGGACGGGCTGGGCACTGAGCAATGTCCCCAATGGACCCACAGCCACGAGGGCCCCAAACCTTAAAAATCAGCCTCCAAAAATCAGCCTTAAAAGACTCCATGAGTGCTACAAAGTGCTAGGGAACCCTCAGGGACACACATTTTCCACTGGAGACCTGTTCTCCCCAGACAGGACATTCTTGCTTTAAGGAATCCTCACAAAAGAGACAAGACTCCAAACCCTCAATTTCTGTAACAAAAAGCTGTGAGGAGCCCAGAAATTACTAAATTCACTTTATCCAACAGTGTTTGGCCAACTCAGAAACTTTTGTACAAGAAATCGCAGTCACATGAATACAGACCTGGATGCACAGGACAGGCAATGGACACACAGGTACTCCATGGCTACAGACAGCAATAGCCATGCCTGCATCTACAGAGCAACCCCAGCAGCACAGACTCTCCACAGATACAGATCTGCACATACAGAGCAGCCCCAGCATACAGACACCAGTGTATTTAAATACAAAAGCTTTCGTATTTAACATTTAATATTTTGTTTCTTTTGAAGAGCATTTGTTGGCAGTGAGTTGGCTACAGACACACAGACAGGATCATGTCCCCTCACACAAAGCACAGTATCTACATGGGTTTTATAGGGCTGGGCTGGGTGCAGAAGGAATGACTAAACCACCACGGACTCCTGCAATGGGATGGCTGAGCTGGAATTTTTGGTTCAATGAAATTGGGTTGGCCAGAGTCTGGTTAGCAGTGGCTCACCGAACAGGAAGTGCTAAACAGGCTGAGAGAACGAGCTGATGCTGAGCCACAGCTGAGGGTGAACAAGAGGGATTAAGGTTTAAAACATTCTCTGAAATCCCATCTGGCCTCACAGATGGAATTTCACTGAGAAACAAAAAAAAAAATCTGCCAAAACCCTTGCAGAGTTTCTCCTTTCAAGGCCTAGAGCTGGCTCACATACTTGTGGGTCCTTAGGGACATAGTCACACCTTGGTCACTTCTCTCCACAGCTGGCAGAACGTCACTGAGATCCTCATGGTGTTCTGCCCCAGCTGTGCCAACATCAGCCATGTCGTGCCCAGGTGATGGACACCACCACACAGGTGGGGAACAGAGCGACAAATCCTTTTGGGATTGCAGGAGATGAAGAGCACACCTGGGAACACCTTCCTGAGAAGAGCAGTGGAGCAGGCCGGACTGCGCCCTGGTGCAGTGGTCCCTGGCTGCCACAGGCCTCGAGGGCAGCACAGACGTACAAGTGATGAATGGCAGGGCCTGCCAGGCCTGTGTGACAGAGAGGGGGAGATCCCACAGCTTTGGGTGACATCCCTCACCCGCTGAAGGTCTGAGTCCATGCCAGCTCCAAGCTAAGGGTACGAGAGAGGTGCTTCCTGGGGCAGCACCTCGTGGCTTGGCCTGAGAGAAACCAGCCCTGCAAACCGAGGCACAGGAACCCAGGAAAAGCTGCCATTTTTTCAATGCTAGAACCTAAATACTTAAAGTGAAGAGTGATTCCTTCCTCACCTGGAGACAGGAAGGCACACCTGCTGCACACCTGCGCTCACCTCAGGGCTTCTTGAGGCCGCAGGGCAGCCCCAGGGCTGGCTTGGCTGCCACGGTGGGCGGGGAGTGCCACACGGCCGAGCTCGTGCGCTTGAAGTAGCGGGGTTTGTTCTTGTAGAAGATGTCCTCCAGCTTGGGGCTGGGGATGGCCCCGAACAGCGCGTCCAGGTCAGGGGGGTGGTAGTACTGTCGGATCACGGCCTGGCTGAGCTGATTCCCTGCAGAAACAGATGAGGCTTGAGTTAATTTTGTTAATTGGGATTGCTGTGTAGGCTGTTGTATGTGGTGTGTCCCCACTCTGCTCATGTTTCACCACTCCAAAGCAGCTTAGCAGTGTATTTGTCCCTCATAACACTGTGACAAGATCTCCAAGTGGTGGAGGAGCCCCTGATTCCACATTCCACATAGAATCATGGAATGGTTTGGGTTGGAAGGGATTTTAAAACTCATCTAAGTTCCAACACCCTGTCATGGGCACCTTCCATGGACACTATCCCAGGTTGCTCCAAGCCCGTCCAGTCTCAGACACAGCAGTACTCACTTCATGCTGGATTACCTTAAACTCCTCCATGCAGGAGGAACTGGGCAAAACCCCACAGCAGCTCCCAGAGTCTGCTGGAGGTCCTGGACACACACATCAGCCCCCACACACATACCAGTGGCCCAGGCAGGGACGGGCTTGCGCGGCTGGCTCTCGTCATCTGTCGAGTCGTCGCTGTTCAGGTCCATCCCATAGTCATTGGAGTTTGCCAAAGGCACCTTGAATTCCTTCCTGCTCTGTGGAGTCATCTCGTATGAGTTGCAGGCAGGGGAATTCTAGAAGGGAGATACATTTCACAGATGTTGGATGCAGCAGCATCACCAGGCTCCAAGCTACAGCAGGACCAGCTTGTCCTCACCTCCTGCTCTGTCACCTCATAGCAAACCCTGAGTCTGGCAGTTCTCAAGTTTGGACCCAAGAGCTTGACCCAAGTTCCAAAGCTGTGACCCAATGACGGCCGTGCATGGCCTTCTCCTGTTTAATTAGGCTGATTAATTTGCCATCTGTGCCATGAGCACACAGCAGTAGATGAATCAAACTGGTCCCGTAGAACAGAGCTCCACTCCAGCCAAGCCAAGGTTAACTGCAGGTTTTATGTCACTGGAGCAGAGTCACATGCCCTAAACACTTTGCAACCCAACTTCTGGGCTTGATTAATGATATAAAACTAATTGCTGTACAGAGAACCTGCCCACCAGCTCAGCCAAATTGAGCTCACGCTAATGGGAGCTGCAAGAGAAGAAAGTGTAAGGGCAGAAGAAAACCTTCAACTGCAAATTTCATGGTTTTTTAACTTGAAATTTTCAGCAGAAATTCTATTTTCAATCAGTAAATGAGTCTCTGGAGAGTTGGACACAGTTGTCCTTCCCCACCAGAGACCCCCATTCATGGCTCTGTGTCCAGTGACATTAAGTCCCACGTACTGGTCCTGCACTTAAAGATTAAAATTCTGAGCATTGCAAGGAGACAAGAGCCACGTGTTTGTTGTCAATGTTCAGGACAAGAACACACACCCTCAGGACTCTCCAAGGCAAACCACCACCATTCCACAGGCTCTGCTGACACCTTGTGGCTGTTCCCAAATTTAACCCGAAATAAAACTTTCAGCACTTTCTGCCCCTGAGGTCATTCCGGTATTTAAGAGGCACTTAGGACAGCTCCAACAGCTGCTGTTTCACCCACAGCCAGGAACCCTGTCCAATCCCTCCTGCTTCCTTCTCTCTGTCATTGAAATATGCATGGAGTCAACCCCAGATAACCAGGATTTAAAGAATTCCTGTGTTATTGAAAGGCAGATAAAAGCAGAGGGTGGAACTGCCTGAGGCAAGAGTGGGTCAGTGCTGAGACTAAACTCTGCTGTCACCCCTAAGGACCTATCCCCAGTTACCTCTTTGTTCTCCAGGAGTGGTGCCCGGGCATTTTCTTTAGCCTTCTGCTCCTCTGACAGTTTCTTCTGCTCTTCCTCTTGACTCTTCTTCTCCGCCAGCATCTGCTGTTCCTTCTGCCAAGCGACACCCACGGGATTACCCTTGGGAACTACACTGCCAATCCAGCCATCCATCTTTGTGGCACGCAAAATATTCAAGCACCTCATTATAGCTGTTCCTCATACTGCTGAGGAGCACCTGGGACATGGTGCAGCTTCCTCAGAAGGGCACAAACACATTGACCCCCATGCCAATGCATCAGCTGCCTTTCCCTGACAAAGCCAGGGCCTCCCACCTTGGAAAACTTGCTGCTGACTTTATCTTGGGGCTATAAAAGCCAGAAACTAGCTGACCACCTCCAGAAGTCTGTGCTACTAATCTTGGCCTCTTTCTAGACTAGTAAACAGTATTTTTAGAGGCCAAGTCTCCCCATGGTGCCATAACTGTGTCACACAGGTCTGACTTCCTGCTCAGAAGTGCCCTAGTAGGTCTTCAGGGCTCCCCACAGCATCACAGCTGAGCTGCTCCAACAGCAGCTGAGGCCACTGTGTGGCTCTATCCCTTCCCAAAAATCAGTCACTTACCTCCTTCTTCTCCATCTCCATCCGGAGCCGCTCCTTAGCAGCTGCTTCTTCCTTCTGCAGGCGGGCAGCCTTCTCCTGCTGCTCCCGGAGCCTGGGAACCACAGCGCAGGCCCTCACTCCCAGAACCACACCAGGGCCCCCCCTCGCTCACAGCTCTTCAGGCACTCCCCACCACACCCCTGACATCCCTGAGCCCAGAGCTCCTCCTCAGCAGCTCAGCACCAGCAACAGTCCAGAGCTGTGCTGCCAGGTCACTGCAGCTCCCTGCTGCTCCAGCTTTCCACTCCTGCCCTCTGCTCTGCATTTCAATCCCATCCCAGAATTTGGTACATAAATGAGGATTTTGCCTTACTTTTCTGCCTGGATCCGCTCCTGCTCTCTCTTCCTCTCCAGTTCTCTCTCTGCAGCCAACTGTCTCTCCCGCTCCTGTTCTGCCTGCCTCTGCTCGGCGATCTTCCGGGCACGCTCCTGCTCCTCTTCCCTCTTCTTCTGCAGGAGTTCCCTGCGCCGCCGTTCCTCCTCCTCCTGTAAGCCCAGGCAGGACTCACTCACCTGACAGGAGCAGGCTCCAGGGGAAGCACCAGGAACCTCTCACTTGACCCAAATCCCCACCGCTACACGGCAGGGAAACATCCTGGAGGTAAATTCCCAGTGCTCAAGGCAGGCGGATCTCCTGTCCAGCTCTGCCTGCAGAACAGGCCCACACACTCACCTGCTGCAGAGCTCTTTGTCTCCTCGTCTCCTCCTCTTGTCTGCGACGGGCCTCAGCTTCCTCCATCTTCCTGGCAGCTACTCTCTTTTTGATCTTCTCCTCTGCCAGCCTTTCTTCCCGCACCTGGAGCACACACAGACCCAATCTCAGGTAGGACAGCACAGCAGGACCCCTCACAGGGCACACCCTCCCTCCTTTTCTCTCAGCAATCAAGGGAGCCTGCGCTCTGTTTTAACAAGGTCAAATTTAGGGCAATGACCTTGTACTGCATCCTTCCAGGAAGAGCTGACCCCATCCTGCGGTTTACACATCCAGTCCCACAAAGCCATTGGAATATAACCTCAGAGCCATGCAATCAGACAGGCAGCTGGGGATAAATAAAGCAGACAAATGCCCACCAGGCCCCTGCACAAATTGCCTGGAAGACTGGAATCTGAGGAAGGCTCTGGAGGAAGGATGTTTGCTTTCCTCTGTTCAGCTATTACTCAGCTGGGAGAAGCAGCAAATAAAACCTTGGGGCCATTAGGCCACCTTTATCTACTGCAAGTCCTTCTCCCATCTACCAGAGCATTAATAAAGCCCATTTAGATTTGTGATTATGGAAAAACAGGGGTTCAGCTGCCATTTGCTGTAGCCAGAGAAAGGCTGTCCCTCAGGATCATCAAGGCTCTGGAAAGTTCTTTGTTTATCTACTCTTTGGTTCAGCCTCCGGAACCCAATCAGCCTCCATGCCCCTTTTTCCAGAGAGCACATCTGTGTGGTGCCAGCTGCCTCAGTGGCTACTGATTGTCCCAAATAAACTCTGCAGGGGCTGTACCTTCTCGGTCTTCTCATCAAGCAGCGCAATCTTCTGCTCGATCTTCCTCTTCCTCTCCTTCTCAATCTCCTCTGCCCGTTCCCGGGCTTGCAGCACCTTGCGCAGTCGTTCCTCGCGCTTCCTGAGGACACAGTCTGGCTCACCACCGTGTTCCAGCCAGGTGAGCTCCCCTCAGCTCAGCACAAGGCCAAAAAGGCATAGCAGGAAATTCAATGGCCCAAATTCCCCATTCATTTAAGCACCAGCCATGTTTAAGCTCTGTCAGAAAGTGGGGACTCAAGACAAAAAGCTGCACCATGGGCAGCAAGGACAGTCAATGCTTTGTATCAGCATTCCAGGGATACCCCAAGGACAAACACTGTCTGTATCCACAGGAGTTTCTGCTGCTTGCATGGTTCCTGAAAGATAAAACACCTGGACACAGGAACCTACAGGTGGCCAAGAGCAGTGTGAGCACATCTACTTACAGCTTCGCCTCTCCAAGTCGCCGTTTCCTCTCCTCCTCCACCTTTTGCCTTCTCAGCCGCTCAGCTTCTTGCTTCTTCCGCAGAGTCTCCAGCTTCTGCCTCTCCTTTTCCTGAGGGGAATTGAATGTCATTGCACCCAGTGGCCAGCGCTCTTTCCCACCTCAGCTGCTTTGGGCAATGACCCAGAGGTGACAGCAAGGAGCTGCAGGCAGGAATATGAGATGGTGACAGCCCTGGAGCAGAGCTCGTGACCTGGTCATGAATGGACACAGGCAAGGAAAACACTGGCATGAATCTCAGGGAGCAAGAGGAGAAGGTGGAGTGTTGAAACAGGAGCATCAGCTCTGGAAGCCCAGCAGCATCCTCAAGGACTGCAGGCAGCCAGCCCCGTGCTTTCATTTGGTGCAAAGGAACCACCAAGCAGCGCTAATGCCTGGCACAGCTCCCGCTTCCTGCGGCGAGCGCGGGGACAGATGGTGCTCCAGGAAACACCTTGAGCTCCCACTGGCGCCTGCGCCTCCCACGAGGCTTGGTCTGGTGGTGAACCACGAGCACTCCGAGAGCTCCCAGCTTGCTCCGGCACGCAGCCACATCCATGTGCCAGCCAGAACCAGGGGCTTTCTGCTCGTTTTCCTGACCCAGCCTAGGCACGCTGTCAGCCAGGAGAGCAAGATCCAGCCACCACTACAACCACAGCAAATGGACTAACATCAACCTGCTCCATGCCAAAGCAGGCCTGGTCTCAGCACAAAGCCTCAGATCAGCACGGGCATTATCCAGGGGAATCCCTTACACTGGCCTCCATGCTGTAAATGCTTGGTACTGTCAGCATCCAAACTGGTTAATATAAAACTAACAATTATATCTTACTGCTCTGCTGCTATTTAGTTATGTTTAGCTCCCACATGGAAAAGCTCCCGAGGGGGAGCTGCCTGCACTGGAATGAAATCTAAAACATTCCATGAACTGACAGCAGCAGAAGAAGCACTCTCTAGCCACAAGACTCTTTTCCACCCTATTAACTCCTTTGTAGTACTGACACTAACATCATCAGGGGCCCAGTGAGATTGAAGCTGGAATCCTTCACTGCTTCCCAATGGCCTTCCCTGACCTGCTGGAGCACAGCCAGCCTCTGAGCACAGCTCTACAGAGCTCTGCCATTAGGCTGCTAAATGCAAGAATACCAATTCCTGCATCCTGCCCTCCTCTTTCTCCCTCTCAGCTCTCCTGCAAGGGGAAACCAGCCCCAGAGGTGCCTACTTTGCAGGTGAGTTGCTGGGTTATCAGGAATATGAGCAATTCCTGTTTGGTACAGAGCTTCCAAAGTGGCTCTGAGTGAATCTAGGAAGCTACACCTTCTAGAACCAGCTCTCAAATCCCTCCCTCCCAGACTGCTCCTGGCTTGGAAAACCAGAGCCTTGGAAAGCTCCCTGGGGTAGTGTAGAAGCACCTGCCTGCAGCCAGCCAAGGTGTGCTGCTGGTCCCAGCAGCATCCAATGCCCGCTCACTCTGGACACCAGCAGTTGTCTGACTGGCCGCACATCCAGAACAGCCTCATGTTTCCTCCTGCCTCAAGGGTTTGAAAAAACCTCCAAAGTTTGAATTTAAGATGTATTTGCTCAATCTCACTCATGAGAGAAGTCCTAGAAAGGAGACCTGGGATCAGGCCAGACCTGAGAAAAGGAGACCTGGCTTCAGTCATCAGTACAACTCAACATTCACAATCCATTAAATTTCTGTTTCTCAGTTTTCATCTCTGACTGTTACTTGCCAATAACACAGGGGAATGATGCAGGAATAAAGCTTGGAGCTCAAACTGGAATTCTTCAGGAAGCTGACTAACCCCAATTCTATTTATTTAAGTACAAACAGAGCGTTTCAAATCACTCAGTTTCAAATGGGTTGCAAAGCTCCTCTCATAGCTGCGCTTTAAGTTAGGCACTTAATGAAACCACCCTGTACTGGCTTAGAGCAGAGCCCCCTCTTACCTTGGGATCAGCCTGGAGAGGGGTGTTGTACCTGATGAAGGATTTTATGACTCCGTTCCTCCCCACAGAGCTCGGTGTCATGAGGAGCTGGTTCTTCTGCACAGTGTGCAGGAATGTTTTGAACGGACGCACCACCTGTGGAAGGAACAGCAAAGTGTGAGGGGGGGGGTGGGTAAAAAAGGGTCTTACTGAGACATTCCAGGCTTACAAGGACCTCACCCTGCTGGCTGGGAGGACTGGGGATAGAGTCTTCTTCCTGAGAGGAGACAGCCCTCCCTCCTCTGCCTGCTGGTGGTCGTAGCGCTCATCCACGGCTCTCTTGTAGCTCGGCTTCCTCCTGTGAGACAGCACAGGCCATCACACTGGGCAAATCCTCCTCATGCCTCCAAGTCAGGGCTGGAAAGAGCCATAAACTACCCTGGGCTTAACAGAGATTCCAGTGTGGGGAGGCCCTGGCACAGGTTGCCCAGAGAAGCTGTGGCTGCCCCATGCCTGGAAGTGTCCATGGACAGTTTGGCTGGGGCTTGGAGCAACCTGGGATAGCTGAAGGTGTCCCTGCCTAGGGCAGGAGATGGCACTGGATGGGCTTTAATGTCCCTTCCAACCCAAATCAGTCTGATTCCAAGATTGTGCATGCACAGCTAGCCAATAAATAAAATCCTAATGCAATAGAAAATAAAAATTAAATAATAGAATCACGGAGGCAGGGAAAACTTATTTGCAGAAGTTTCACAAACACTGAAGGCCAGTGAACAACATCCCAGCACTGAACCTGTTTGGAACAGGACCACAGCCTGCCCAAGACACTTCCAACCAGGACATACCTGGCACTCTGGGGTGGCTCCAGGGTCTCCCCATTCTTATTTAAGTTGTTTTCTGAAAGAGAACAGTTACACAGTGAGTTCTAGCAGGAAAAATCCTAACACAAGTTAGACAGCAGAGAAGGGATGCAGCAGCTCACCGAACAGCAAAACCACCTGCATGAGTGGGCATGGCAGGACCTGGCTCACATGGCACCGTTCCCACATAGAAACTCCAGATAAAGCAGAGCTGCCCAAAGTTGTCTGGGTTCTGCACAGCTTCAGCAACAGAGCTCATCTGGGCCTCCCACAACCCTCCAGCCTCATTATAACCATCTCCATGTGCTTGCCAGGATGGAAATAACCCCAGCACAGAGTTTTCTTACTGCTAATTGTCTGAAACAAATCCCTGCTCATCAAATATTAATTAATCTTTCATGCTGAGCTCTCAAATTAACCAGACAATCTTTCCAGCTTCCCAGCCAGCCTCCCAAAATGATAACTTCCCAAAGTGCTGCCCCAAAACCCTCTGGAATTACCACTGCTGCTCGGCTCCTGGGGCTGCTGGTGTTTGCTGACTGTGTGGGAGCGAAGGGACATCCGAGGGTTTTGGAAATCCTGTGGGAAAAGCCAAAGGGGTTTCAGGACAATCACACATGGAAACTGTTACTGGTTCAGACTGTGGGGTGGTTCTGACACAGGTACAGTCGGTGGCGTTATCAGGGAATGCCAAACCCCCTCTTGGCACAGCCCTGGATGCTGCATCATCAGGAGAGGCAGGGACATTAACACGAGCATCTCCGCTGCTTAAACTCAACCAGCTCATCAACTATTAAGGCCAGGAGCCTTCCAAGCTGTAAATCTGTGCTGCTGGAGCTCTGGCCAGAGCCAGTGTGCCCATTTCCCTGAGCAGTGACGAGTGGGGAGCCTGGAGACAGCAGGCAAATAGCTAATTTCCATGATTTATCTGTTTGTTATGGGATACCCATCGCTGCTCTGCCTCTGCACTTAGGCTCTGCTGGGATAATAGGTTGTGGTTCTGGAATTGCTCTCTCCTACCAGCATTACCTCCTGGTCAGCACTTCACAGTGCTGCACTGGGAAGAGAAGAAAAGGGATTGATGGAGAATTCATCCTCCCCAGTTGCTTCTGCAGGGCCTAAAAAAACTGACTTTTTTTTTAGTTTCTGCACACTCATAACAGTTCTCTTTGTTTTCACAAGTGCTTCAGGTCACTGCTCTGCTCCATTAATTCAGGTTCTGCTCATTGAAATTTATTCTGGACAAAACACTGACATGATCCCAGGATTACTTCCTCAGTGAGGATTGTGGAGGGAAAGGTGTTGACCTCAATAATAGTCACAAATTTCCAAGTTAGTCCAAACTAACAAGTGTTGAATTACCTGCAGGACTGACCAAAAGGTCAGAAGAAGCTTTAAAAATACAGCATGCAAACCATGAAACCAGCTGAACCAAACTTCCCTGAACTATAAGTTTTTGGGTTTTTTAATCTCTAAAGACTGGGGACTGAATCTTCACACAATAATCTCTAGCAAGAGGTTAAGAAGGAAGAGCCAAGCAGGACTCAACCCTGAGGTCAAGACCAGGGTGGCGTGCAACAATTTCAACAGATTTAGGAAAAGACAGAGGAAAGTCAGAGAATCTTGGCAAGCATCCGACACCCTTCTGACAGAACAAAGCCCCCAAAGCCACGGGTCACACGTGTTCATTTCCCAGAGAAAACTTTGCTGCTTTTGCTGGTTCTGAAATGTTGTGATTAAGACTTTCCCTAGCCTGAGTACCAGAACCACAGAGGCTCAGATGGGCTCTGTGTCTTCCTCACTCACTGCTATGGGGACAGGTTACAAAGTCTGACAATCCACAGCCAGAGCTCCCACATTTCCCAATGAGGTGTAATTCCACACATTTTTCTCCCAAATCCACACAGGCACAAATGTTTTTAATCCCTGTCCAAGTCTTACCAGCTTGGGGGGGGTGGAGGGTCCAGGAGGAGGCCTAGAAAGAAAGAAAGAAAGACAAAAGGGGCTGTGCTTAGCAAAACTCAGGAAACAGGGGAGCCACTTGGATTTTACATCAAGAATGTCAGTGAAAAAGTCCTGCAAGCAGTGAGGATGAATAAATAAATAAATAAATGAAAGCATTCTCACCCAGTTTTGACAACGGTTTCCTCATCCTCTGGCACACTTATGGAGCTGGAGGCTATGGGAGAGGAAGAAACACACCTGAGCTGTAAGGTTGCGGTGCAGCCAAGGATCTGCTGGGACAAGGAGCTCCAGACACTGCAGAGGGGTTTGTCCTGCCCTGGGGCAGGGTGGAGCACAGGAGCACACCCAGGTGGCACTGCAGGAACATGGCCAACAGCTCCAGTGCAGGAAAGCAGTTTTCAATTATGGATGATTTCAGGGTATTATTCCACCAGCTGGCATTAATGGGCCTTGGGCTTATCTGCAGGGACCTGACTGGACATTAACAGCAGTTAGAGCCAGCCTTATTTACAGTAGCAATGCTGCTTCCCAAACCAGCATTCCAGCTGGTTCTGCTGCACTGAGCTCAGGAGCTCTGGCACAGCCAGAACCTGCCATGAACAACCATAGACCGGTTGGGATGGGAAGAGACCTTAAAGCTCATCCAGTCCCACCCCCTGCCTTGAACAGGGAGATACCTTGTCCTAGGCCAGGATGCTCCAAGCCCTGTTCAACCTGACCTTGGACACTTCCAGGGATGGGGCAGCCACAGCTTTTCCATCAACACGTGCCAGGACTTGTTCTCCCTCAAACAGAGGAATTCTTTCCATATATCCCATCTAAATTTCCCCTTTTCCAGTTTGAACCCATTTCCCCTTGTCCTGTCACTCCAGATTCTGATGAAGAGTATCTCTCCAGCTCGCTTGTTTAATAATTCCAGCAGTTTAGATAAGATTGTCCTAGCCTAATCTTCCTCTGCTACCGACTGTAAAATTGTGGGATTTTAATCTACAAACTCCAGCCTTGAAATTCCCTTCTCAAACTCTAAAACCAGCAGCCAGATCCTGCTAAGGAGAAGGAAACTGATAGGAATTTCACCTTGAAGGATACAGGCAAGGCCTTCTCAACTTTGCCAGCTGTCCCCACAGAATCTGGGAAGACCAGCAGCCTAGAGGAGCTGTGGCTGCCCCATTTCTGGAAGTGTCCAAGGCCAGGTTAGATGAGGCTTGGAGCAACCTGGATAATTTTTAAGGTCCTTCCAACACGAACCATCCTGGGATTCCAGCATTAACAATTTCTCCCAGCAGATCAGCAATTGTTAAAGCTACGTTGAAATGGAGACACTGAGGCTGATCTCCCAGGTGACTTACAAGGCTGAATTCAGTCACCTGGGTTCCTATGCTCACAGGGGGCTCTAGAAAGCCAGAGAGGACTTTCATGAGGAATTGCAGCCTGGGAAGCTCAGCTGCTACCCCCACACTGAAGACCCAGAAAGCAGAATCCCCCCGCCATGACACCCAAACTCACCATCCACGGAGCTGCAGGACACAGATCTCTTCCGAGTCGCCCTCTTCTTGCCCGCTGCCCTGGCGGTGGATGCCCGGATCATGCTCTCCCTCTTGTTGGCCAGGGAGTATTTCTCTGCCAGGGAGGTTCTGCGGCTCAGGGAGGCTTTTCCCATCAGGCTCCGGCGCACGGAGCGGCGGCTGAGCCTGGAGCCGGTCGGAGTCCCCGGGCTATTGCTCAGGGGCTGGGAGGGCTCCCGAGCCCGGTTGTGTTCCCATGGGGAGCCACCCTCCTCCTTCAGTCCAGCCCCTGGGCTCAGGACGACGGTGACATTGGCTGCCCTCGCTGTCTGTGACTCGGCCACAGCCTGGCTGGCCTCAGGAGTACAGGGCACCACCAGCTCAGGGGCTGTGGGCACCGGCGGCGATTTGGGAGCACCGTGTTCCTTGGGAGAGCCGCTCCCTGAGCTTGTGGGGAGCAGCTCTGCCAGCTTTGCTCCGCTCCTCTGGAGAGGCACTACAGTACCAACGTGGTTAGCTTCCACCCAGGGATCCTTCCCTGCTGCCTGCAGGGCAGTAGTGGTCTCAGGAACCACCCTGGAGGTTCTGGCAGCGGCTGCAGCCCGGGATCGTGTCATCCGCTGTGGTGGAGAATCTTCCTTGGCCTCGGCCCTGCTGAGTTCCAGGTTTTCTTTGTTCTGGAGTCGCAGAGAAGATCGCACAGGTCTGCTGCTGCCGTTCCTCCTCCTGGAGAGGCTGATCACAGGGACAGCAGGTGAGATGGGAACAGGAGTCGGGACCAGCCCCCAGTCCTTCCGTGCACACGCAGGCACGGAGCCAAAACACCTGGGATGGGCCCAGGAGACACAGAGCTGCACAGAGCAGCTAATGCAGACAGTATTTAAGAGATGCAATGACTTTAAAGCAGGAAGATAACAGACAGAGACATGGGGACATAGAACCAGGCAACAATAAAAGCACTTCTCGTGAGACTCGAAATCCAATGTTTTTCGGCCCAAAGTGCCCCAGACACAGGGTATGACCAGACTTTTAACACCAGAGGGACGAAGGAAGGAGAACTCGCCCTGGACAAAGGAGCGCATCGCCAGGACACGCTCCATGGAGGGCAGTGTTTCCCTGAACCCTTGGCAGCAGGTCCGTTCAGCCTCCCACGGGCTCCCTCCCTTCTCCAGGCCCCAAGGACACCCTCGGAGCTCCCCCTTATCCGCAGCCCGCCCCGAACGGGGCTCCCCGATGCCCGCTCCCGCTGCCCCTCACCGCTTCCTGCCGGACTCCTGCTCTTCCTGCAAGGCCGACAGCCGCTTCCTCCGCTGCCGTTTTTTCTGCGACGGCGTCTTGGGCATCAGCTCGAGCTCCTCGTTGTAGTTGCTAGAGAGGAAGGGAGGATCAAGGAAGGATCAACACGAAGGGCGGCCGGTAGGGGCCGGGGCCTAGCTGGGAGCGGGATGCTGTTACCTGACAAACATCTTGACCGCCTCCTCGTAGATCTCATCCAGCCACACCATGTCGGTCTCGTCCACCTGCCTCAGGAACTGGGCCAGACACCGCTCGCCGTCGGAGGGCAGCTCCATGGTGCGCACCGCGACCGCCGCAGGCCCCATGGCTGCCGCGGCCGCCCTCGCCGCCATCGCTCCAGCGCCAACGGCCGCGCGCGCGCGCCACGCCGTTCAAACGCGGCCCCGCCCCCCCGGCACAGCCAATCGCCGCCCGCCGCCCCCCACGGCCCGCCCTTCCCATTGGCTGCCCGGGGAAGGGCTCGCACTCGGCGCCGCTCTGCTTGCCCGGCTCTATGCTCCCAGAGGACTCGGCTCAGAAGGCGGGGCTTGAGGAGGCGGGGCCACAGGCCGCTCCTTTAAAAGCTGGGTAATGACGGACGGGCAAAACAACCAATAGAAACGCGGGTATCGGGAGGTGCGCGCTGTGATTGGCGGGATCCGGGGATAAGCTCGGGGCGGGAAGGGCCGGCCCATGCTGTGAGGGTGCGGTGAGCGGGCGAGGCCGTGGCAGGAGGGGCGGCGCTGGTCGGGCGGTGGGCGAGTGCTCTGGAGGGTCCGGGGAGCTTGGGACGGGTCCTGGACACTTGTGCCCCGGCCTGTCTTCATACTCCCCGGTGCCTGCCGCGGTCTCTCTTTCCCACGCTGAGACGTGTCCTGGCTGCCCCCCAGCCTTGTGCTCTCCCTCTATGTTCCAGGCAAGGCAATGGCGGAGGGTCCCCAGCAGCTGCTGGAGGTGTGCGGGCAGAGGCTGTCCCGCTTCCTCTCTGATGCCCACTTCAAGCACCTGGCGTGGCTGCGGGAGGTGGAGGAGCAGGGCATGAGGATGCTCAAGAGGTGAGGGCTGCCCTGAGGGGACCCCTCTGCCACACCAGCTGCGTGTGGGAGGGTTTGGGAGGGTTATTGTGGGCAGTGGGGGCATTGATCTGTGCTCTTCTGCCTCACAGCAGCTTCAGGGATGAGCCCATGCTCTTGCCCAAAACGCCGTCACAGAGGAGGAAGCTCAGGAAAAGGCAGTCGTCCTGGATGAGGGAGGAAAACAAGGAGCTGAGCAGGAGGAGGTAGGTGGGTCAGCTTGCTCTGGCTCTGCCTCATGGTGCTTGGATGAAACAAAAGAGTGCCTGTATTCCCTGAGTTATCAAAGGAATAACTGGTATTGCTCACTGTTTGATTCTGGTGAGAGTTTGGGATAAAGTTGGCTGCCTGCCTTCACTATTTTTTTTTTCTGATTATAGTTAAAGAATAATAAACACTCTATTTTTTTGTCTGTTTACATTTGGGTGTTGTCTTGCTGGGTTTGGCTTTTGGCCTGACGTTGCTGCTCCTGGTGTTCACTCCCTAAGCCTCTGTGTCACTGCCTGGAAAACTTGGGAAAGGGATGTCTGAGCACCATGTCTTAGTTGGCAGGCAGGGAGGCTCCAGGGGTTTATGGAGGGACTGAAGTGGAAATTCCAAGTGATTTGCTTAGAACCCACCCCACTTTTAAAGCTACCCAAACCTGATCTGTTGGTGTGTTAGGGCACTAAAATCGTGCTAACTGTGGTGAAAAGCCCACAGGAGGAAGAGTTAGAGGTGGGAGACTGTCAGGAAGCAGACATGGAAGGTGGGGAGAGCAGCAGGAATAGCAGGAGCGTGGGAGGTTGGTGAGTGTGCAAGGGAGAGCAGGAAAAACAGCACTGCGGATCAGAGCGGGGAGAGCTCCGGCCCTGCTCCGGGTGCTCAGGTCACACCTCGTCCAGGGGAGCAGCCCAGCTAACTCCTGTTGGTGTTTTCCCTCATTTAAACTTGCTTTGGGAAGAGCTGCTGATGCAGCCAGGCCTGTCAGCGGGAAGGTGACACACCGTGTGTTCCTCTGTAGGTGCTGTCCTCTGCCGTGTGTTGCTCCAAGGGTGAGGTTTAAGCCCAGATCTTGATGTAGGGTTAAATACACCTTTCCCACTGCCACTTCTCCACACCTGACTCTGGATACCCAGCCTGGGCTCTGTCTGTGTGGCACAGCCCTTGTGTGTGAGCTCCCATCTGGGCTGTGTCCATGTGCCTCTCCCCAGGGACAGGATGGGCTGTGAGGGGAAACAGTGGAGTGGAGAAGCAGCAGCAGCTTCACTTTTATACAATCTGCGTTTCCCTCCAAAACTTATTTGGGAATGGATGACTCCTTCATCGTTTCCTTCAAAATTCTTTTCCTTTAAGGTTATCCAGAAGGAGGAGTGGTGTCAAGCTGCAGTCTTCCAGCCTGAGCTCCCAGCAGTGCATGAGCCAGGAGCAGCCCTGGAACCCTGGCTGTGAGGGGCAGGATGTATCTGTACCCGGCTGTGCTCCTGGATCTCAGGCTGGCATCACACCCCAGCTCCCAGCTCTGCCCGGGGAGCAGCCTGAGGAAGCACATGTCCCTCTGGCAGATCTGGACTGCCGGGAGTGTCCCCAGCCTGCTGCTGGGGGTGATGCAGCCCCTCCAGCAGTTTTGGGGCAGCAGCTGCCTGAGGTGGACGCAGCCAAGCTCCAGGACATCCCTGGTGTCCCTGGGATCCTGGCTGAACAGCCAGGAAGGGATGGGGAGCAGAACCCCAGGAGAGCCAGCACGTCCACTCCCAAGGCCACTCAGAATGGTGATCCTGCTGCACTCCAAGGAGATGGATCTCCTCAAAGCCTCGAGACACTGCTCTTCCAGGACTCCCCCAGTAAAAGTGTGACACGGAAGTCCAGGACACGCCGCCGGAGTGGCCTGGGTGCCCCCCGCAGGAGCCATAGGGCTTCCCTGGCTGAAAAGTGCTCCCTGGCCAGCAGGAGGGAGAACATGATCCGGAGATCCATCAGCAGGACCAGGAAGGCAGCAGCGGGAGAATCCTCCTCGGCCTCCAGCAGAGTGAGCTGTGAGTCCCTGCACTGCTTCCATGTGGGAATGGAGCACTGTGGAGCCGCTTGTCCCTGCCTCCAGCTCCCCCAGGTCTCCTGTCCTTGTGGGCTCCTGGGGTGCAGCTTCAAGCCAGGGTGTTGCTGCAGCGGGGAGAGCTGGGGGGGGCAGGTGGGGTTGGGGCACACAGGTTGGGAAGGGGTAAAAAGCACAATTGTGGAAGGGAGAGTGTGGCCAGGCTGGTTCCAGGCACATGTGCCTTTGGATCAGGAGAGACTGCTGCATTCCCTGGGGAAGGGCTTGAATTTATGGCATCTGCCAGCTCTCCAAAAAATCAATAAGGCTGAAAGTGCAGCCCTGAAGTTAGGCTGCAATGAGGAGAGGTGCTCAAATGCTTTTTGGGCAAGGAGAGAAGGGACTCAAACTAGCTGTGTCACCAGAGGAACAGGGGTCATGGAGCCCAGGCTATTCCCAGTATCTCTGAATCCCTTGTATCAGCTATTCCTGCTGCTCCTGACAGGGTTTGGCTGCTTGGACTTTCCAAAACCATTGCTGCTGCAGGCAAACAGGCTGTGGTGGAGCATGGAGGCTCTGGAATTCAGCTTTGTCAGCCTTGAGTCACGCTGTATCCAGGCATTTGTTATAACACTTGGAGCGAAGGGGTGTGATGGGGGGGTGGAATGAGGCTGGAATCAGCCCAAACCCCCTGGATCCCTGCACCAGAGCGTGCAGGGAGGCAGGAGCTGCAGCCAATGGCCTGGGAATGCTGGCTGTGACACAGGCAGCTGGAGCAGGCTGCAGGCAGCAGAGCTGCTGCCTCGGTGCTCTGCCTTCCCAGCCCACTCCAGATTCAGTGGCACTTGAGGGAGGTGTGGTGCTGGTGGGGAAAGCGGAGCAATCCATGTTCCTGGGAGGAAGCCTGAGCTCTTCCACGTGCACCCTGTGGCTGTGGGGAGCCTGGGAGTGAAATCCCCAGCTCCACTTGGGCTTTCCTTTCCAGGTCAGAGCTCCTTGGAGGCTTTTGTGGAAGAAGATGTGACCAGCAGCACAAGGTGAGGATACCATGTAAGGCAGGTGGGAAGGGATCCCAGCATTCCCTGTGAGGACACTCTCTGGGTGGCCTGTCTGTCACAAATTTGTCAGGGCCTGCTCAGGTGCTGCTGTCACCTGGGGCTGGATGAGATTTTGGGTTGTGCTGTTCAGGCACAGTGAGATTAAGTCCTTCACTGGGATGGGTGGTGATGTGTCCTGGGGTTCCTGGAGTTTCTGGCCGCCACTAGCCTGGCAATGCTGGAGGCCAGTCAGGTCTGCTCTGGGGAAGGGACAGCCCAAGGCTGTCAGAGTCCCCTTCTTTCCTGCTACTGGGGCCTAAGGTGGTTATGGGGTGTTTAGCAGCACAGTGGGACTGTCCCTCAGAGGAACTTCAAGTCCAACCTTGATATGCTTGGCTGGAACAGCCTCTGGATGTGCTTAGGACTTCCTTGGAGTCCCACATGCTGCTTCCATCACCTGTAACTTTCCTTCAGAGAGAATTTTAATTATTAAATTAGCTTTTCCTTCACAGGCCTGAGCTGGAGCCAAATTCCCCGAGGGAAAAGGTGAGTTCCAAGGAATAATGCTCCCTGTGTGGATGCCTTCCTGCTGAGTCAGCACCTTTGCTGAGGTTGTCACTGGATGCAGGGATGTCCCTGCAGAATGAGCCAGCACAGCTCTCACTGGGAGAGAAGCAGATCCCACCTGAGCAAGCAGCTGGCTTTTCCAGGGCAGCCTTGTTCTTTGCAGCAGCTGTGCTAAAGGAATGCTTGTCCTCTTTCCCTGCAGGCTCCTGGAGATGTCCTTGTTCCAAGCACAAGTCCCCAAGCTGCCAGCCCTCTTGCACAGCACCTGTACCCTCTGGAGCAGCAGGCAGGGAGTGCTGCAGGTAACTTTCAGGTGGTCTTGCTTTCCTTGCATGAAACCCTCAGAACACACAGACCTTGGCATCAGTGGGGGCATTCCTGGGAAATAAGGGGTTTGTGTTGAAACTGAACCACTTCTGACCAATCAAGAAAGTTTTCCAGGGAAAGTTTGGACCTCCTGAAGAGGTGAAACATCAATTAGGTGGGCAAGGACATGTAAATGTGTCCAAGCTATGAGACAGTGCCCTGAACAGCTTCAGTCTGTGCAACAAGTGAGTGGGGGCATTTGGGAAGAAGCCCCTGGAGCTGGAGTCTTCCAGCATGTCACGTCCTTTCTCTCTGGGGTTGGGTTACGTGAAAATTTAGAGGTCCTCATTATTTTCCAT